TGGTACAACTGTGTCATAATTACTACACGTAGTACGTGTACTACGCGTAGTACGTGTAGTACGCGTAGTACGTGTAGTACGCGTAGTACGTGTAGTACGCGTAGTACGTGTACTACGCGTAGTACGCGTAGTACGTGTAGTACGCGTAGTACGTGTACTACGCGTAGTACGCGTAGTACGTGTAGTACGCGTAGTACGCGTAGTACGTGTACTACGTGTAGTACGCGTACTACGCCTAGTAATTATGACACAGTTGAACCGCCATACTCTGACTTCCATTGACTCACTGAATAAGTGATTGGCTGATATTGAAGACCAGACATGCGGAAATTCTAAGTACGATGCGATAGGCCCGACTGTGACTTATCCTAGGTACCAAAGTAGGCTAAACATTGAAAAACTTTGCTATTCCAATGAATAGCATTCCACTCGAAAAATTAGGGTGTAAATAGAGAGGATCCTGACTAAGAAATGCTAAATAAAACGGAGAAACGGTACTACTATATTGTTTTTATTTGTTTTAGCCAGGGTATGCACTGCATACCTTGCTTGCCTTGACGGTCCGCCACTGGCCCCGAGATAATGCGGTTTCTGTATATACTGTACCCTAGGAGGCAGACCAGGTTTTGTATGCACTCTGAGGTGCAGAGAATTTGACTTCAGAAATTGGTTCAGGGTGGTCCAAGAATCATTTTTGGCTTGGTAACATATTTTCCAAAATGTGGCAAAAGGTCAGGGTCAAAGGTCAAAACTATAAGGTCCTTATATCTCCGCAACCACAGGTGGTAGGGAGTTGAATTTGGTGCCAAATTGTTCGGAACATGCATATTTCTATTTGCTCTAATAAACATTTTACTTAAAAAAATGACCGGAAATGCCGTTTCTGAACATTGACATGTTTCAAGGTCATGCCATATGGTCCTTATATTTCCACAACCACTGGTGGTAGAGAGTTAACCGTGGTGTCAATTTGTTCGGAAAAGTCATGTTTCTATTTGGTCTACTAAATGAGTTTGCTAAAAAATGATTGGAAATGCCATTTCTGACCTTTGACATATTTTATATATCATAACCATTGAGTCGTTACTATCTCCGCAACCACTGGCGATAGAGAGTTATGTTTGGTGCCAATTTGTTTGGAACCTTGATGTTTCTATTTACTCTAATAGACATTTAAAAAAAAAGAGTGGAAATGCTGTTTCTAACCTTTGACATGTTTAAATGTCATAGCCTTAGTCCTTATATCTCCTCAACCACTGGTGGTAGAGAGTTAATTGTGGTGACAATTTAATCGAACATTCATGTTTCTATTTTTATCTATTATATATCATTTATATATATCTAATGGAATACGGTAGTTTGCTAAAAATGGCCGGAAATGCTTTTTCTGACCTTTCACATGCCGACATATATTATTATTAAGGCATAATTATGCTTATCTCTGTACATACTTGCTGTAAAGACTTAATATTGATCTCAAATTATTCATTTACACATGTTTCTGTTTACTTTATTATCATTTGTTAAAAAACGTAATATGTTTATATATACTACTGCATGTATCTCTACCAAAAGATCCAGGCTTTTTTCCCATAGCATTGTTGTTTTTCAGTACTATGCCTTTTAATACATTATATATATATACATACATATATATATATATATATA